CTCTACGGGTCATCGTCATCTACAGATCCCCTGGCTCAAGCACACGACTTGCATACGCCTAGCCAGCCGGCTACTCTGTATAAAGAACACCTAAGCACAACAAATAATCCCTTCGCCAACCTGGACGCCTTGGACACGAAGGTCATACAAGACTGGGCCATGCGATTCCTCGCGACTATTGCGGCAAGCGGGAGCTGGCAGCGGCAGCGAGGATCTTGACCTCCTACCTAGTAAGGTAAATCTCGCTCATAAAAAGGCATAAAATAAACAACAGCAAGCTCGCCGCTAACACCCATCGACACCTTCTTCTATACTATTCAATATACAATAAGCAACCACCAAAGCCGACCCGAGATGGCTGCTGGACAACTAGGACTTTAGGAGGCTCGACATGTACAAGCAAATTCAAGATCGATGGAGCAAACATAGTCGTCACCCCTGATACCAGACCTCCGACCAGAAAGTCTTGGGAGTGTGCGTACATTACCTTCCAAGAATGCCAAAGGCATTTGGGATACGCCGAATAGGCCTAAATAAAATACGGCTGCGCCTTTTATATCGCTCTTACACAAATCACACGACACGTGGTCTACGCACGAAGGTCTAGATGAAATATTTGCATTGATTCGCATTTCCGCTACCTACACCTCCTCAATGAAACCTTCAAATCCCAAGATACGCCCTTTCCTTTGCAAAGCCTTTACATGCGGTTGGTCCTACAGGTTACTAATTCCCGAAAACGCCCTTTCCCATAGCCCATGTCCATCACTGAAAATAATCCCTCCCTCCGTCTTCCATGCAAGGCGACTGTAAAGCACATGCTGCTTCCATACTCAGAGAGGGCATGTCGCCACTGTACGCCAACTGACAACTGTCAGCTTATGAACACCAGATCATGCTGCGGGGATAAGTACCCATGCAGGAGACGATTCCCCATATTCCTTCATCCTCAACTCCAGTGTGAAAATGCGTGAGGGACATCGCTTGTCTCCTCCACTCGTCTCGACGACGAAAGTCTATCCCCAGTTTCAGCAAGAAACGCCGTCGGGTGAGATTTCCTCTAAGTGTCCGAATACGCCATGATGCAGTATACAAGGGCAAACAACCAACGAGCAGACGATGAATCTAGGACCCAAATAATTCCTTCTCTAAATCCCGGAATTCGTCAATTCATGCTGTGCGGCCATATGTCCGCTCCTCAATGAGCCGCCGACTATTGCCGACGCTCCCGTACAGCATCTCCATCAGCTTGCCCTTCTGCCGCGTCCGCACACCCTCGAGGTAGCCACCGACATCCTCGAGCCCGCGGATCTGGTCCTCGAGCGTCAGGGTGCTCGAGTTGACAGACCTAACGAGCGGGCTGACTAGCTTGCGTCGTAGGTTTTCGAGATTGGCCTTGAGGGCCATGAGCTTGCCGTTGTGCTCGACCAGGATGCTCTTGTTCCGCACTGTCTTCTCCCTCACGTTCTGCAGCAGAAGACGGTTGCGCTCGTATTTGGCCACCTCGGCGGCATTGGCGCCAAGGATACGCGTCCAGAGGGACGACAAGGAGTCGGCGTGCAGGTCGTCCTGCGCGGATGCCTCACGGACGACTGTACGCGCTAGATTGAGGAATTGGTGGTCGATAGCCTCGAAGAGAGCAAACAAGGCAAGAGAATGCTGGAGCTCCGAGTTGATAGCATCCTCGAGCACGGTGAGGAACTCGTTGAATGTGCGCTGAAGGGTGAGGCGCGTGCGCTGAGGGTTGGACATGCCAAAGATGTACCTCGACAAAGATCCAAGGCGAGTCGGGCTACCGAAGCCGTCTTCGAGAACGCCAGCTTCAGAGAGAAGGTTGTGGATGTTGTCAAAAGCAGCAGTGAAGGGCGATGACGGGAGGTGTTGGACTTGAGAGAGTTCTCTGCGCGCCCAATCCATGACTATGAGAATGCTATAACCCATGTAAGAACGAGGCGCTTCACGAGTGAGAACACATAGTGAGACTTACCCATCAATGTCGCCATCAACGTTTGCGAAGAACTTTGTCAGCTCAACAGCCAGAGTCTTCAAACTCTCACTGAGGTCATCCAGCTCCTTGACAATGATTGGCGCAGAAGTCATGTTGCTAGAGCGCACGCTCTCGCCGAGGTCCCAGACAGCGACGCCGGTTGCTTGCAGATCGCCAACCTGGGATGCGCCATTCTCAGAAAAGTAAATCAGCGGTTCGAAAGACCGCGCAATGCCCGCGACCTTGACGAGGTCGGGTACCGGCTGCTGCGTAGCGGGCTGGAAAAGGTTGCGCGTCGCAGTTATGGCAAGCACGGCGACGAGGATGGATAGGATAGTGGAAGACCACGAGTGAGTCAAGAATCGCCATTTTGAGCGGAAGAACTGAACAAGGGCCTCGATTGGTTCCGTACGCTGCTGCACTTCTGCGCGCAATGCGAATCTGATATCTATCGGCGAGGTCAGCCTGATACCCTCCCAAAGCAGTCGTGCACACATGATGAATAGGAATGGGCTTCAGGTACGGGGCCATACAATTGTCTTGATTCAATGTTCCCTCTGAAGGACTCGTTTCTTTCCACGGAATATCCTCCAACTTGATCGTCCTATCCTCCATCTTGGGCTCAGGGCTGGGCGACCGGGCCTTATCGGGACTCATGCTCCCCGTCGGCAACCTCGTGCGCATAGCTCTGCGCAGCACCGACTCGCCCTCGTCGCCATCACTATCGTACTCGGGGCTTGACTCTCTCGACTTGAAGCCGCCAAAGCCTTGGTGGTGTGCATGTCCGTGGAGCTGGGGGGAGAATGCGCCTAGCAGGTCATCACTCCGCCGCCAGAAGCCGCTGTCGCGACTCCCGTTTCCGAGGCGGCGCCAGGCCGGAGGACTGTAGCCACCGACGGAGACTGAGTTTTCGGGGTCCGGGCCCAGGTCGCTCTCCGCGTCGTCTGACCGGAAGCTCGAGTGATGCGACGGGTGCCCGAACAAGTTCACGCCCTGGGGACCCCTCCTGCCCGGTGGCGGGGTCGTCGGCTCGAAGTCGCCCAAGGAGGCGTCTAAATGATCGAGAGGATCGAACGTCGTCGAATGTTTCGTAGCCATCATCATATTCGTGCTGGTAATGTTGGGAAGAGTGGCGGTTGCTGCGACGGACGAGTGCGCCGCTGGCCTCGGGGGCGGGTGGTGCGGGTAAGGCCTTGTAAGTGGGTGGTGGTGGGAGAGGAGGCGGCTCGACTGCGGCCTCTGCGGTTTTGGTGGTTCGACTTGTGCGCTTAAAGTAGCTGACGTTGGGTAGCAGTGTCGGCTTCCACGAGATCTGAACGATGTACAGATAGACGAAGACGAAGGACAAGGTCAGTGTTGCGACGTATGTGCTTGGAGCGATGGTGATGCTCAGCAGGGAAACGTTGTTGTTGACGGTGACCAGCGACGGCATGGAAAGCATGAGGGTCAGAATAGGTTGGGCGCACACCCTTCACCGCGGTCGCCTCGGTGTTGCGACAGAGATGAACTTCTTCTGCAGGTCGACGGCTAGTACGGCGCAGAGAAGTACCTTGTTGGCTCACTTGACGTATGGCGGGAGCGCAATGCAGGAGGGGACAGTGGGATGTATAAGGCAAAGAGTTGAGAGCAAGGGAAGGAGAAGTGCCTCGGATTGATGTAACCGATCAGGGCGAGTAAGTAGTGTATAATGTAGACCAGCCCAATGTGAAACTGAACTCGATTGGGAATGATATGCGCGGGTGCGATAAGAGTAGAGGTAAGAGTATGGATGAAGAAAGGTTGAATTTGAGTATGGATCTAAGGTAAGGTAGGTAAGGTAACGGTGACAGGCCAAGTGCCTCGCAGGATCGCCTGTCTCTACCGGTATCTCTCTCTCTCCTCTCTCAGACAGGAGACAAGAGACGGGACAAGACGGGATAGGACAGATTTGGGCGGAAAGTGGGTAGAAAGAAGTAGCAGGTGACCTGATTGAGAGTGGCCGCAGTGGAGGTTTGTAAAAAGGTAAGAAGAAGCGGGAAAGATGCAGCAAGCAGATGGAGAACCTCAAGCAGCAACAGCAGCAGCATCCAATTCCTCGAGACGGAAGGGGAATGGGAGAGGAGGGGAGGGGGGTTACGCTGCCTTCCCGTTCCTCTCTTCATCTTTTCTAATGCAGCAGCGGCAACCTTCCTCCCCAGCACCTGGATCCCCAATGCCCACCCCGAACCACCTTGCGTCGTCTTTTGAACGAGTCGAAATCGAGAGGTTGGGGAGCTCAGGTACCCACTTGCCAGGTTCGAGGCCGCTGTCCAATCATTGCTTGCGTCCTGTCAAGGGAGCGGCCGGATTTCAGGCCCTGGATTGGGTGGGAGGGGCTGGAGAGGGGCCCCTACACCGAACATTGACCTGCGTGAGTACGTATCCTTCTGCTCTGTTCGCTCTGCGTTCTCCCGTGCACTCGCAGTTTGCCCTGTCTCTTGCACAAGAGCCATACCTAGATCAATAAGGTACAGTTAATGAGAAGCCGGAAACACAACTCGACGCCATACTTCCTCTCTTCCTTCGCCCTACGGATACCCGTATCTCCCTTTCTTTCCAGATACACTTCCTCCCCCTGGTCCCAAACACCCATGCGCCCCCCAGCTCAACCCGCGTCGTTCGTGTTTTAGGAAACAAGCGTGTCTGCCCCTCGGACGTTTAAGTGGTTGCATCCCTAGTCACGGGACCCCATCACCCAATGTCAAGCACGAGAATGGGAAGGCGGGGTCCTGCTTTTCCCACTGGCTTTCAGGCTATCTTGCCACTTTTGAACGTAAACAAACAAAGCCTCTCTCTTGACGTTCCCAAAAGAGTTGCGCGATCCAATCAAAGTGACTCACCGACAAGGCCTCGGGAGCATCCGATTCGACGACGACGCCAACGAGACGCGGGCAGTGTGGGCAAGGGAACCCAAGACTCGCGTACCCAGGGGAGGGGCCAACCAAAGAACTAGGTCCTCCGTGTTGTATGAAGCCGTGAAGTTGAGAAGTACCAATCACCGCATGTCCACACACAAGATATACATAGCCATATCATGATGGATCAAGGCACGAAAACCCCTACCCGGAGCGAAGCTACGCAGTACACCACACAGCACACTAGGCTTCTCGCATTATTAGACCACGCTTTATCAGAACGAACCTCAAACAAAAACCCACACTCAACCTCACCCCCCCGGTTTCCCAGGGCACAATTGCACAATTGCGTACGTACCATCGAGACCGGGCAGGCATTCTCAGGTTTACACGGGACTGGCCAGTTGGAACAAGAGGACCCAGAAAAAACGCAACTGAGCTGGCCCCAATCAGCCACTTTCACTATCTTATCACCCCGCACCAATGCCCCACTCCCACAGTCCCGTCACCGAATCAACCGTCGCCAGGCGGAACCCCCCCCCCCCCCTTCCCTGTACAGACTACAACGACGACTCCATTCCCTCGATGAGTGACTCCTTCATAGCCATGACGAACATTTGTTCGCTCCATGTCGTACTTAGTATGTTGGACTGGCATAATTCATAGAGGTACTTGCTTTCTTGCGTTTATCCACTGTCGTTCATACACAATCGCGTCGGACCGGATATCACCGGGGTCCTCATTGCTGAGCACCACCGAGTTGTTCACGTTCTTAAGCAATGTTTTTTGATAGGACTCAGATGCAGGCACCTTGATCGGACTTAAAGTTGTGGAATGGAGTATGGATTCAACCCAGTTGGTTACTGTGTCTTCTGCTAGACCGCTTTTTATGACATGATTCATCGTCAAATCCCCTAGGGAAATAAGAAACAAGTGAGACGCCTTGCGTGGTTCGTATCTAACCTGAACCGCGTTTGCTCTCTTCGTCCCATCCCCAGTTGGCAAGCTTCCTCCCACAAAGTGCCCAGGATACGTGTCTCAGGCCTGTCCAAAATGGAAGGCTTGTACGAACATGGTGAAAAGGAAAATTGTGTTGCTCATCAAGCGCTCTTGCGCCGATCCGCCTGCTCCACCTGCTCCGTCGGCTCTACCTCCTCCCTCTCATCAGCCCACGACGCTCGTCTCGCACTGAAGCGATTCCACAGCCCTGACAGCCTACGCCTTGGCGCGGGGTCCTTCTAGTCGACCTTGGCGTTGGCGAGGCTCTTGGTTCCCGGGTTGTTCAGGTCATTGACCTGCTTGAGAGGCCCTCTCTTGTACTTGCTCTTATTGCGAAGGCGCTTTCGCGCCACCATGACAGGCACCGAGCTCTTAGTGACAAGATAGTTGGAGAACGAGCCAAGAATCACACTAGTCAATGGTCAGCAGGCATTCAAACAGTGGAGTTGAATGGGGTGGATAACTAACCCCTTGAGAGCGCTACGGCCTCGGCTGCCCAGGATTACCAACGTAGGGCTGACAATATCAATCACTTCGGTAATGAGATGCTTTGGATTCTTGCAGTGAATGACCTCGACAATCACTCGCACTTGAAGTCGAGTCCTTCGCAACAGCCGCTCGACTCTTTCCTGGATATCGTTAACCGCACGACGACGTTCCTCCTCAGCGCGGCCGCGCTCCCTACTGGACGGTGCCGGCGAAGAGGAGTCGCTATTGTTCAAGGCCGAGGCTCGCGGAAGGTGAGGGAAAGGCGGGGCGCTGGTCATGTTTGGCGGCGGTGATTTGGCGCTGGACATGGCGTTAATAGCAGCTGCTTGTTCCTGATGCGCGGCACGCTCGTCGGGGACCATTATTCCCTCGGTCGAGTAAATACCAGTCTCTTCATCGACGCAGTAGATACAGATGAGAGTATCGCCGTCTCGCAGAACGGTGCCGATAGTCCATTCCAGGGCGTGTGTCGACTCCTCGCTGAGATCGGTGGCCACCAGGTATTTTCTCAACCTATGATGTTCCTCTTCGGCCGACTTCTGGATTTGATCAAACTCGCCGCGCATGATGATGCGTAGAGTTCGTGAAAACTCGGGGTTGTTGAGGGTTTCTGTCCGTGAGAAGGCAAGTCTCTGTGCGCGCTTGATGTCGTTGAGCTCCTCCTCATCGTCCGAGTTCACAGCAGACGCCATTCCCGAGCCTGGCTCGTTGTCGAACGCCGTGGTCGGGCGAATGCCTGCTTTGGATTTTGACTTCTCGCCGCCTGGCTTGGTGAGTGTGATGGAAGGTTCGTCTAACAATGACTTGTATTTGTATTGAGGTTGCTTAGAGCTGACTGCCAGGCCTGCAAATTTGTTAGCATGTTAACCTACCATTAGTACGAGTTACTTACGCTCTTCCTCGGCCGCGGCAAGTAGACTGAGCGTCTTGCGGTCACCTTTGTCGGCTGAGTTGCCGGACTTGGCCCTGCTCTCCTCATCTCGAGGTGACATCTTGCGTCCTCTCTCGTTCTCTTCATCAGAAGAACTGTGCGCGTCATCGTCGCTGCTGTCTTCAAGCTCCTCTCCATCAGGGCTGAGATAGTCCTTGGTAAGACGTCCAAGTCCGGCATCATCCGCGCTCGACTTCTTGCGTCCGGCCAGTCCGGAGAGGCCTCCGCCTGAGAATGCCAAATTCGCGTCCGATAGCTTGCGGTAGGCGGTTGAAATGTCCACCACCCGACCGTCATCAAGAATGGCAGTTCCAGGGATCTGCTGGAGCCGGCCACTGACATTGGGCGAGCGGGAGCGCATGCTCAGTCTGCCATGAGGAGACTTGGATTTGCTGGCTTGACCTCTGCTAGAGCTTCTCGCACCCATGACGGGATTGCTAGCAATAGAGCCGTGGCGGGCTCTGTCGCCGGGAAGAATGATGCCGGGGATCTCGTTGCCGCGCATGACATCGACCATGGCGCCGCCGCCCGGCTTCTTCACACCCAGCGCCTTTCCCTGTGTGTTGCGCTTCGGCATAGCAGTTCCGATATTGTTAGTAGAGATATCAGAGAATTGGTAGTCCAGTGTCGGATCCATTCGATTGATTGGGGCGCGCGGGCCAAAGCTGGGCTTTTGGGAGTGTGAATCGGAAAAGGTTCTCGGGTGAGGCGCGCGAGATTCGACTGGAGAACTGGGGCCGGCACTGGCAGCTTGCTTTGGAGCCGAGGTGTTGATATCGAGCATACTCCGAACGGGAGCCGGAGGACCGCTGATATCCAACATGCTGCGCACCGGTACGGCGTTTCCGAGGCGCGGGCTCTTTGAACCTCCATCGGCGCCGATATCCAACATACTTCGTACGGGCGAGCGAGGCGTTGTGTAGGGCGATGGCGAGCGTGCAGAGACGGGCGAGCCAGTGTTCCAGTTGGATCTGGCAGCGGTACCCTCGAGCAAGGCCAGAACATCTCTTCTCTCCTCGTCGAGCATGGCCTCCATGCTCATGGGTTGGTGCGACATCTTGAATGGGGTCGAAAGTCGGATTGCGCTCTTGGCGGGGAAGGAGCCTCGTTCAGGACTTTGCGAGCGTCGCTTTTATGGTAGAAGAGCGATGATGACTCGTTCACTTGAGGTTAATGATGATTTCGTTGATGCAAAATCGAATACGGGAGATTGGTTTGCGTCGGATATACGTGGTTGTGGTAAATCTAACGGGGGATGATCTTGCGATGTTGACGTTGGCGGTGCAAGTTGGACGGCAGAAACAGCATTGTGTAGGGGCAGTAGGGATATGGAGGTCGGCGGAGGCTCCTTAGATCATGGCTCCGTTGGGGACCAGACCAAAAGTGAAGAAGGTGCGCTGTGGGTGGAGGCCTAAATTAGCTTATGAAGCACGAGTCGAACTGCCAAGACCGGATGAAGGAGGAATAGTTAGTTGTAGTGGTAGGGGGAGGAGGAGAAGAGAAGGGTTAAAAAAAAAAGGGTGCGGTCTGGTAAGGTAAGGTAGGAGAGAAACAACAGGAGTTGAAGGAAACCTGAGGGTAAGGTAGCGCACGACACACGATTGGTGGTAGTGGAGTGAATGGAAGGGTAAGGTACTGTGTAAGGTGTAAGGTTATGGTAGCTCCTAGTCCCTTCTTTACTTACCGTACTACTTTAGCCAAGGTTACCTTACTGCGGTAGTCCCAGTCCAGCCCAAAGTTCCCCGGTGGCAGTGGCAGTGGCAGCGGCAACACAAGCGCGGGCTGGGAACGAACGAGTACGAAGTACTCCGTAGACCTAAGGTAGGTAGTGTAAGGTGAGAGAAGAAAAGGTGGGGATTGGGTTTTGCGGGTGGCAGGCACCGGAGGCACCTCTGAGAGACGGGACTTGAGTGAGATGGTTGTGGAAATGGGACGGTGGAGGATCAGAAGGGGGTCAAAGGAGAGGGGGGGGGAACGTGGATAACGTGGATGGTGGGAAGGGATCGAGGAGGGGTAGGTGCTCCGGTTTTAGCGTCGACGTCTTTGACACCAGTTGACTGTTGACGGCGCCCTCCCTCGTTTTCAACTGTGTTAGTCTGTAGCCTTTTCTTCGCCTTTGTGACCTTGGCCCGTGACTGTGTCTGTACGTAGTAGTACTCTGTACGAATCCTAAGAATGACATGCACTGAGCTTAAAGTGGTGGTGCAGACAGTGCCTGGGAAATGCAGTCATCCGATCCAGACTCGTCGTTTTCATTACGTTCTTGATGAACATGTCGCCTGTCCTTTGACTCTTCTGTCTAATTTACATGGAGTCAATTGCTGTGACAGAGACTTCCAGTTTGTGGACATGGGATGAGATTGGCAATGGAGCCATGGGCACCTTATCCAGCCCAGCCAGCCCCATTTGGGCCGTATTCCTCTGCTCTCCTTCTCCCAATCTCATTTCCCCAGAGTCTGAAGAAGATCACCCATTTCGTAGCGCCCTAGTGCTGCAGAGAGACCGAGAGGGACAGCTTCTTACTTGCTCAGCCTTTCTCATTCTCCATCTGCGTGCCGTGGGTGCTTCGTCATCACCCGTCTTGGTACCTGCCCACTCAGGAAACCCGGTGAGGTACCCCATCTCATCCCACTTCACTTATACGCAGTATTCGTACATGCCCATGCCATGTTGTGCCCTTTTCTTTACCCAGTGAATTCTTATTCCGACGAATCGTCCGAGAGCCATTGGGCTGCTGCCCCACGAAAACTCAATCGAAAGATGGGATGTCACCTCCAACTCTGCTTACGCCGCCCCAGCGCCCTCCCTTCTCCGACGTTTGTCTGCTGATTTGATGCACGACACTCCAACCCCAAGTATGCAAACCATCCAAAGAGTACATATGCTCTGTGCCCACTCAAACAGGTACGTGTACGTACCCGAGGATCACTGTGCTTTAAAACCAAAACGAAGAAAAAAGAATGGGGAAACATCTGAGGAAGATCTGAGAAACACTCACTTATATCTTGATGTTCGAACGAGATCGACAGGGCTAGTTTCAGAGCTGATTTTATCGTATGGTGTAGCTAAATTAGAAAGTGATCAAAAGGTTCACGTTACTGCCAGACAAAAGACTATTCTAAAGAATGAAGGATTCTCTGCCCGTCTGCTCACAGATCTAACCTGCTCTACACTCATTTGCGTAGCACCAAGATCAAACGAGGGAGCTGATTTGAAAGTGAATGACGCATTCCCTGCTCGCCCCCGCTGCAAATATTTGTTTTCGGTGGTTTTTCGTCCACAAACACAACCCCGTAGAAAATATTACGTCCCGCGGCCTCCGCCCTCGTCCCCGTCCAACCCGTCCTGCGCTTCGCTCTCCGTATCATCCCACAAAGGTATACTTCAGCCTCCACTCACATCTACCGGGCGGCGGGGAGGACGCAAGACGCTTCGCCGCACAGTGCTTCCGACAGTGCAACGATGACGACGCCGGCGTCCACCGCCAAGGCCGGCCGTCTTCTTGGCAGGTGATTTGTTCACCGTGGACGGCGCCGACTAGGACACCACCACTCGCAAGACTCCCCAAATTCTTTTCAGCCGCCCGCCCCGGAAAGGTAGGGCCAATACAATTCGGGCAGTAGGAAATGACCGGAGCATCCGTCCGAAGGTTTCTGGGAAAGAGAGAAGAGACAGTAAGACAAGACGTCATCTGTCCATCACGTGAAAGACCAATGTTGGAAGCTTTCTCGGGCACCGGCACGACGGTATCATGGCTTGGCCGCAGTCCAAATCGAGTACGGGGATCTTTACGGGCCCCGGAGAGCTGCAGACGCCTTCTGTTACTTTTGTTATCATCGCCTCGTTGAGGCCCCGCCTTTTAATCTTTGGGCACAGTGATGCATTAGACCTTTGGGAATAAGGTAGTGAACTATCTACAACTATATTGAGGCTGTGTTGCAGTCCATGTCTGCCGCTTTACAATGCCGGGCGTCATTCCGCAATGCAGCGGGCACAATGGCGAGCGGCCTCTCAATGCTTACCTGAGCATCGACCGAGCCATCCCGTCCTCAGCCTTTTCCGCAAGGGTCGCAGGTCTTCCTGGGAGAGCTCCAATGGGAGATGTAGCATCGTCATCACAAACCGGGCAGAATACGGTAGATGGTCTCTGGAGACTGGATTGTGACCTGGGGATGATACCGTCGGCCATCTGTGCAAAGCCGGTATAGCAATGCGATGCTCTCGCAGGATGTTCGAACAAAACCCGCCCATCCTGGCGTCCCGACGAAAAGCCTTAACGCATTCACCGCGGTAACAAGTAGTTTTGACAGAAAGGCTCCTCTCGAGCACTAACATTCGGGCGGGATGATATAGTACAATATACAGCTTTGCTACAAATCTCTCTCTTAACAACGTCTTGTTTTCCCTCCCCCTCTTCATCTTCGTACAAAACCTGCTCCCCGCACCTCCTCCCCCTTTTACATATTCTGCTTGACAGGCTTAGCGGTCAAGTTGGCACGCGTCGCCGTACCCAACTTGTGCAGCGCCAACCGCTTCTCCCACACGGACGACCGTCCCTCGGTCACGGCAATCAGCTCGTCCGCCACGCGGTGCGCAAACTGCGTCCGGCCGGACCCCTTGGACGGCTTCTTGTTGACCACGTCCAGGATCCACTGGAACGCCGCGCGCCGCCTCTGGCGGACCGCTAGGGGTGCGGGAAGCTCCAGGGGTCGACCACCACCGGCTCCGCCCGCGATGCGGCGGATCTTGATGAGGGGCGCCACGGAGTCCACGGCCAGTGTGAGGTATAGCACGGGATTGAGCGGGAGGTGCGCCGGCGGCGGGGCGCCGGGGAGGAGCGGGTATTTGGGGTTGATGATCGGGGGAGGGGAGGTTCGTAGGAAGTTGAGGACCATGGCCATATTCTAAGGAGGCGCACGCGATGTTAGCATGTTCTCTTCTCCCAATTGTCTTGACACACAGGATCTCGTCAACATGTTCCAGAGTGGGATTGACTTACTCTTTGCGCCTGGGCCTTCTTGCCATCTCGCATCATCAGGTTGGTCAACTGGTCTAGCACGGGGTGGTACCGAGACTTGAGGTGGCTATGGGGTGGCAGAGGGAGCGTAGGCAGCGGGAACTTGTAGGACCGTGACGGGGCGACCTCGGCGGCGTCCCCAGCCTGCGCGAGGAGCCCACCGCTCGCTATGATTTCGAGATCGCGCTGGCCGTTGCCGTCGGATTGTGTAGGCGGGATGGCGCCCTCGGCGTACAACATCTGCTCCTGGGCCTCCGTCAGGCCGCCCTGGAGACCGGTGCTGTGTCCCTTTGCCGCCTCTGCGAGCTCGCTCAGTGCAGCGGCAGCTTCGAGGGCCTCGTTTGTCGGCTGTAAAAGTGAATTGTCAGCATTTCCTTCTTCTTTCCGCCTCGTTTCGTCCATATAGTTTTCCTCCTCCTAGTCTCAAAAACTCCATACCTGCTGTTGTCCTGGCGCAGATTCAGGGACCTCCTGACCCTGAGGAAAAGCCGCATTCTCAGTCTTCTTCAACACCGGGATCTGACTCCGTTCGCCCTTGCGCAGCTCGTCAGAGTATCCTCGTTTCGTCGCCGCCCAGATCAGAGGTTCCTGTCGCTGGGCCAGGGGTCGGGACCGCAGCGCGAGAGCCCGGCAGGCGGTCTGTAGGCTCGGCCGCAGAGACATGGCTGCTCTGAATGTGTAGAGATCACCGAGATCGTATCGTATACCGCCGATTGAGGTGCGTCGAGCCGTCAGGGTGTCGTAGGATTTGGAAAATGTACCCTGATATTCGACTACCGATTTTCGACCCAGCGCAGCCAATCCGTGATCCACGAAAATTATTGAGTCGCGCGGATGTTGCCGCTCCACTCTCGCAGCGTCGACTGCTTACCTACACCTTTGGAGTTCAAGCTGGCCCGAGCTTCAGAGTAAAGTGGGACTTTGTAGCTCTCCCCGGAGAAGGGTAGCTCCGCTCTCCGAGAGCAACACTCGAGGCTTAGGTAAGGCAGGTACGTCCCATCTACAGGCCATATCCCAGACCAACGCCGGTCGGGGCCGTGCCGCCCACCGAGACGAACCTCACATGCCCTTACCTAAGCTAATCTCAACCCACCTCCCGCTCTTGCTCACCGAATATGCAGACCTTCTTCAATGCCACCACACCTCTTCATCAGATTCGCTGTGCTGTGTAATCCCGAACATCTTCCTCCGCAAGCCAATAGGCATTTTTTCTTCTCTATGTCAAGCACGGCATCAGCGCCAGTCACGAGACTCTCCTTCGAAGCGGCTTACAGTTCCTTCAGGATGATCAGCGAGGTCTCTTCTTGCGGCCGCCAAACCAACAACAAATCCAAATCCTTCGTTTCTTGCCCACTCCCAAATCCCACCTGAAGCCGCAACAGTGTCTTGGAAAGAGAGACCCCCCAAATTCACCCCATCCCTTGGCCGATGCCCACGGCGTCCACGTCTCGTTGACATCCCGCACTTTCACCATGTGGATTTTGATGTCTCAGTGATCAGAAAATCCCGCCCCCAAACTTTTTGCCCATCATGAAAGGGACCAAAGTTCCATGGTTCCCAATCTTTTAATGCCAATGTGCCATTTGCCAAATTCGCCCCCATGGCGGGATGGGGGAACTTGAGGGACCTACCTATCTAAGTCGCAAACGCCACCCACATGTCGAAAAGCCGCGAATTTCCTCGACAAACAGGATACCTAAAAAAGAGCGAGAGAAACATACCACTCACACACCTACACACGCCTTGACACCTAAACCCCATCTCCGAACACCTGCCTTTACCCCTCGCTGCATGTAGACCGAATAGGGAACAAATCACAATCACAATCACCCCGAAGACAGATGTGTGATTCAAACTGCCTGCCTGCCACACACCACCGCCACCAGTCACTCACTCACCCCCCTCGTGCAGATTTCCTGCAGCACGGCATTTAGCGGCTCTTTTCACTTTCTCTGCCCGTCGCGCGACATCTGTCTGCCCTCCTCTCACCACATCCCGCGGATGCGCAACGGGATTGTTATCTCTATCTCTCTCCGTGGAGTGGATGGGGGCAGACTGAGAGAGAAAAAGAGCTGTCATTCCATTGACAAGCCCCCTAGCGCAAAGACCAGCTGGTTCAGCTCCCCCACCGTTCATGAAAGCTAAGCTGGCTGGGTTCCCCCTTCCTCCCCCAAGATTCCCCTTCCGAATTTACCTTACATAGGCCAACCGTGGGCAAACACAACTTAGGTTGAGAAGACAGCTTTGCGTTGGCGTGGGATCTGCCGCAGTCCCGTTACTAGCAGACTCCCTAGCTCACTCATCTTTGTCCAGGGGTGGGAAGGGGCAGGGAGCAGCCAACACGCCCACTGTCCGCCGACACCGCAAGGACCTCCTGCATTGGTGATAGTAGATCCAAAACACCTGAGATACCTATGTCATCGTGGGGGAGAGGAGAGAGAGCGCGATAGACAGAGGTGGACAAACGAAGCCCGTTCGCCCTCTCCGTGCCAAACGGCACCCCCTTTCTCAGCGCCCGTCGTCTTGAAGAGCAACCAGCTTTGCCATCATGAAGCCACCGACATCTTTTTTGTTTGCTTGTCCTTGCGCGAGCTACAATCCCCATGTTATCACCGCAGACTATAACAACGGAGAATTAATCTCGTCGCACGTGGATTGAATGCAGCAGAGTGGTGTGGGAAGAAGTGGATACGCCCTCGACAGGAAAAAGGAAGTCTCGTCTTGTTGGTCCTCATCTCTTTTGGAAACTTCGCGAGAGGAACCAGCTCCGTTCAACGTAAATCCCTTTTCTACCTAGCTATGCCACGACAGCATCCCTTGCGCTGGTGGTTGCTTTTCCCGTCATTAACGCCGCTCCATAAAGAAAAACAAAAAAAAGGGCAAAAATGTCCAAACTGCAACCCAATTACCAACCTGGGCCCGGCTTCGCAACGCCGCCCAAAACAACAAGGAATTAAATGAGAAAGAGTCCCTCGTGACCCCGTCAACTGTCCTGCCGGCGCTGTTTCGCCAAGGTTCTGTCTCGTTTTGGAATTCCTTCTTTCAGCTCCCGTCCCTGTTCCACACGTGTGAGGAGTACAGAGAGAAGCAAGACACGCCGCCGCGTGCCCCTCCCACCGCCCCCCTGTGGATTGACGTGGTGAGAAACGAATGTTTCTTTTGCGCCATTTCTCCTCGCCCAGCTCAACACCATCTTCCTTTTCGGAGCCTCCCAATTGACCGTAGGTAGAAATGTATTCGTACGCCGATGTTCCGTGATGTCCCCTTGTGCCGTGTGGCATTTGGCCGATGTCTCCCAAACTCAACTCCAGGTGTGTATTCGTACAGTTGAACATCCGAAACAAAAGCCCAGGAAAAGTAACAGCAAGAAAAGTGCGTTGAAAGAAATCAAAAGAGACAAAAAAGTGTGACGCTAGACGATGATGCTCGAATGGATGTTTTCGCTGCAAGTTGCGGGTATCTTTGCACGTCTGTATCCGTCTTTCGTTTCGTTGTCTTCTTTACCAGCTGCCTCTGCTGTTGGCTGGCGAGCTGGGATTCGAACCGGTCAGGTAGTTGAGAGCCATTTCGGCGGCGTCTTCTTTCGCATTGTTGAGGTTCTTGCCGTCGTACCAGAATCGTGCGGAGAGGGTACGGCCGTGGACAGTTACTCGACTGGACCAAGCGGTGCGGCCGCCTAATTTAGGAGCAATCAATCAGCAAGGGAAGCATGTCGGATGAGGTGATTCCTAGCAATGAAGCTTACCACGGCGGTCAGAGACAATCTGGAAGACGGGAGGCATTATGTTGGCCTCGCGGCAAGCGTCTGTAGGGCAATTGATCAGCTTTATTGTCCATGACAGTCGACGTCCTCATAGCGAATCCCTACCTTCAAGTCGCTCTTGCCAGGTGCCTGCCTGACTACTGTATGACGAAGCAGACATGGTGGCAGTCGACGTGTATGACTTGCTGGAGTACATGCAGTGCAATTGTTTGGCCGAAGCAACAATGAGTAGCTTTATAGAGATATATTGGACGAGGGGGTCGTCGAAGCGATAGTTGTTGTAGATTCCAGTAGATGATGGATGTTGTAGGAGTCGGTTTGGGATCGTGGATGTCTCTCAAGACAAACGATTATAGAGTAGCGAAACTTTCTGGTTCTTATACTCGGGATCAGGTTGGCCGTGAAACAAATGGGTATAATCCCATTGGAGTAGAAAAGATTGTGATGTGGCAGGACGAGATTAGCTAGAAGCTGTTTCTGAAGGCAATGAAATGTTTGCACAACGAATGCAGACGGGTAAGGGATCAATTGGGCTGGTACCCTACGGCATGCTGCATCTTGGGATGGGGAGAGGTGGGAGGAGAGAAAGGAAGGGAAGATGGAGAGAAAAGGGACATGATCCAAAGAAGTAACGACACAACATCACGTCCCAATTCCATTTGGGTTTGGTACGGCAGGACCGCGTCGGTTTCCTGTGTCTTTTCTTTTTCTCCATGCCCTGGTACTTGTCTCTGACGAGCAGCAGGAGGAGTAGGACCGGCGATGGCGGCGGCGAGGAGGAGGAGAAGAGGGGTGTGCCACTTGGGTGTGAGTGCTTCTGCTTCGTCTGATGCCAGACCACAGACCAGAGACCAGACCGGACGTGGGGAGTGTGGTACTGGCTGCAGAACGTCGTGATAAACTTGGATCTCTTAGCGTCATCTTTTTGGGTTATTTCCCTTTATTTTTCCTCTCAAGTTTTTTTTTCTGCTTTCTTTTTTTCTCACACACCCCTGGGCACACACACACACACACACACACACACACACGCACGCGCACACACACACATATGCTAGTCGTTGAACCCCCCGCGTGGTCAACCGGTACATGGGTGCCGACAATCATGGTTTATGAACAGGCAGCTGGGAAATATGGGCTTGCGGGACTTGAGACAAGATGGCATGGCTCCACGGCTTGTAGGTAAGGTGAATACGCGCTACTTGTGAAGGGAGACCGGGAAATGGCCGCAGCTTTGAGCGAACAGTTGATTGGGATGTGGCTTGCCAGGCTCCCTTACCCGGCCTCCGGCGGGGTCCAAGGCCACACAGAGCTGGCGTGGAGTGCCGACCCGTCGGGGTGGAAGAGGGAAATGATTGGGAGCTTCAAAGCCGCAGAGGCAAGGGCTTGTGCAAGGCCAGCCGGGGGGTAGGGTGAAGGGGGTGGAGGATAGAAGTAGACGGATGAGTACTCCGTAGCTAGGCCGACTGGAGAGCAAAGGGGTGAAGGATGGAGGTGCAAACGGTGGGAAAAGGCAGGGTAAGAGCTGACCAGGGGCAGAACTGGAATCTCCAGCCGAGAAAGGGAGAGGAAACGAAGGTTACGGAAAGCGGATGCATACAGCCTGGATGTATACACGAAAGTGAGAGCTGTGTGTATCCGTATCCAGGTCGTGTACCTAGATGAGTGCCTGACGTGCTACACGGTACATTGGGTGGGAGAGAGAGAGGAGGTTTCGTGCAGATGTATAATCCGCGGGCGGGAGAGCGAGCAACAAATGGACGAATGAACGCCCCCAGATACGTAAAGAGCCTATTTGAAGATTGCGAGAATGGGGGTGAAAGTAGGAACAGAGCGGCGAGGCTGGAGGGCTAGAGAGAGGGCTGCGATGGCACCACGTACCATGCAGTCAACGCTTCAGCCGACCCAAGCCAAATCGCAACCAGGGCTGGGCTGGGCTGGCTAGCTGGCACTTGTTGATCGGTACATGAACCATGAGGCGTGAGCCATAAGAGAGTGGAGGGAAAAGCGATATGTACGTACGGATAGGTGAATGAGAGCAGGGGGCAAGGGTTCAACAATAATAGCATTGACATCAGCCAACAAGCCGACGATTGGGCAATCAAGCTAGGGCAAAAGTAAAAGAGCGTGACGGAGCGAAGCAGTGTGAGTGAGGTAAGGTAAGGTACCTTGGAAGTTAGCCTGAGCACCCGAGCACTGGGCAATCCGCAGTGGCATCCGGGACCAGCTCTGGAGACTGGGCGAGCGACGCCAGGACCCTCTCCGGCGGCATCGACTCCGCCAGCCGGTGAAGCGAAACGAACCGGGGGGTGGGAAATACCAAGTTGCTAAGCAGCCCGGTGGTTGGGCAAGGGGAATAGTCTCGCCTCCATACATTGCGATGAAAGGAAACTCGGTCAGCGTCGTTTGGGCCTCATCGAGACCATCCTCACGGCGATGGACTGACGTTGAAGCATGTCGGTTTATTTTGGAAAGAGAAAAAAGCAGGGGGAAGAAAAAGGGCCGTCGAGCCACGTCGATTCAAATGCGCGATGCGGCAGGAAAAGGGCGGGGAGAGGCGAGTGATGTATGTACCACCGTACTGATGCAGTTAGCAGAGGGGGGGAAAGGGGGTGGGATCGGGCAGCACTCGTTCCTCATCGTCATTTTGGGGTGGGGTGAGAAGAAGATCAGGGCAGGGCGAAGCAGGGCATTTCTGGCAGGGCGGGCCAGACCACCGATGATGATGATGATGATTATGATGATACCGATGCTGCTGGTGAGGACAATTTATGAGTTGTGAAAGACGACAGAGACAGATTGGGTTTGGTGAAGAGTGAGAGAGAGTGTCGTCGTCCAAGGCATGGCATCTGTAAGACGAGCATGTGGTTGTGAGACCTGCGTCCGTTGCTCCCCTGCTCCCCTCAACGCGCTTGTGCTGGGCTGTTTGTGAACGTGTAGCGGTAGCTTCGTGCCCTCGATGTCGCAAATGAACATGAAAAACAAAGTCATGACATCTTGTGTGCTCAGCAAAGCCAACTCCCCTCTGAGGCGAGGCAAGCAAGGTAAGGTACGTGCGGCTGTTTGGCTGGTCCCAAGCTCTCAATGGCTTTACAGGCCTCGTCAGTTCGGGTTTAGATCAGGTCCAGGGGACTTGCCGATGGTCGTGGCTGTATCCGTACATACATACTTCTTAGCAAGGTACTCCAGTCTCCAAGCTCTTCATAGTGAATGACCTAGTATCGCTTAGAAGCTAGCAATGGTGAAGGACGGGCGGGATCGTCCAGAGTGACAGGCGGCCGGCGGGTTTGGGCAACTGCAGCTCGAATGCAGCTAGAGCAGCACGTACAGCAGCTCGTAGAGGAACGGGCACCTCGCAGCTGGAGAACATGGGTGGATCACCAGTCGTGGCGGTGGTTAAGGTGGCCCATGTTGGGTCTGTGGAGGCATTGGCGGCCTTGGTGGCATCGGGGAATGGGAAGAGCCCCAGCCGAAGGGGTCCCTGGCGTCTTAGCCTGTGAGTCTAGGAACCGTCATGCTTCCCCGAAACGAAGGGAGCAGTAGGAAGGGGGGATATGGAACCGGGAAGCCGGGGAACTGGGCTTGTTGACCTGCGTATATGCGTATGTATCTCATGATGTGTTGGGTTGGAAATGTACAGTACTTGCATGGTGGTGGTGGTGATAGATAATGAAAGATAAGGCGAAGAGAGTGAGAGTGAGCCTAAGACTGAGGATGAGAGTGAACGTGAGAGTGAGAGGGTGAGGAGGCCGCATGAGAATGACGGGACGCGTGGAGACTGGACTGCCCTGAATGAGTGAGTCGAGCAAAATGAAAGGCTAAAGTGGAGCGAAACATTGTGACTTGAGAATTACAACCCCTGGTCGTTTCCCGAGCTTACCTTTGCCATCTTGGTCCTTAGCACAGAGTTAGTAGTTCCTTCATACACTACACAGTAGTCACGACTCACAAAACCTTTCCTCCAGCTCCCCCAAGACTCCTCCTCTCCACCAGGGCAGCTACCTACTGCTACGGTAAGGTAATTACCAGAGGTACTCGAGTACTCCGTACATTGGAGACTTTCATCACAAGGCGGAGTGTTGGTGAGGAAATCTTTCAAATACTACACTACTTTGTACGGATGCGCAGCGACCCAGTTGGCTAGCAACACTAGCATCCGTACTCAACAGAGCGAAGCTTTGCCGGCGGTTTTATTGTTTCGTTCGGTTTTAGTCTACGGGACGATGCCGGTGTCCTTCCGTGGAGTTATTCTGCCCTCACCGTCTTTTATGTCTTTAAACTTTTCTTTTCACTTCAGACGGCAGTCGGAAGGGATGCTACTCTAACAAAGCAGTTCAGCCTTTCCGCAAGACATTCAACAGGGTTGTCTTATCGAGACACACGCACTACCCACACGGGAGTCTGTAGGTAGCCCGTAATGCGATGCTCATGTTGTGTAATGTTGCTCAGCATGTAGGTCAGGTCCTTTGACAGAATGAGGCCGTCATCAAAGAAAGAATGACGGGGCATCTGGTAGCCCGTCAGGATACGAACGGACGACTTAGAGGAAAAGCACTGAGGCAGGAACAGACAGGGAACATCTGCGCAGCCGAAGGACGAGGTTGGCCTTGAGCTTGCAGCGACTGTGCGCTGGGACTATATCCGGATCTGTATGGAGTAGCGTACGGAGTAGATGGAACCTTTACAGCAAGGGGCAGAAGGAGAAAGAAAGGAGCGAGCAGCGAGCATCATATCCATGGCATCTCGACTGCGTATACAGTAGTGTAAACCTGGCAAGCCACGAACTTCAAGGTTCTCTCTGTGTCTCGCTCTCTCTTCTTCTCCATCTTGTTGTTCTCCCGGCCGTCAGGAGGAAGCGGCAGGCCACCATTGGCACCAGAAGACTTGGGTCAACGTCGGGCAGGCGCCAGGGCAGGGTCCAGGGTTCCAGGTTCCTTCCTCTGGTTCAAAAGTTTCTGGCCCTGTCCCGGTCGCAAGGCCCCCGTTGTTGAATTCAAAATCGACAAAAAAAATCATTTTCTTCACACATCACACCTCAGCTCTCGTCACCGCCTTACTCCGTATCCGTACACCTAAATGCGACTTCACATCCACCACCCGAACTGTTCGCGCACTCGCTAGACGGGATCCGCAGGCCGAAGACTCCCCCCTTCGGACTTTGACTTTGTTCAACATGTTTCCCTCCGTTTGTGCAACCATCGATTGTTGACGAGGGAACATTTGAGCAAACATCAAACGGCGAACGAACATTCCATCGCGCTTCAGAACGCTCCCAAGTCCAAATTGATGAGTAGATCGGTGCCGCCCCAATGTTTGCTCGCGGATCGGCGTTCGCCCTTGGCGGGACCGTGACCAGGACTAGGAATGAGGCCAGGGGGCTCCGGCGCTCGACAGCGTGCAGACGCAGACTGCAGGATGTGCGGGCGAAACCAGGGTCCATCTGGTTGAAATGTTTTCTTGACCAACCCGTCGGGACCAGTTCCAACATCCCCCGGACCTACCGCAGCCCTCTTCTGCTTCCTTTCTGATCGCGCCCCTCCCCTCATCCCTTTGCCTCCCCCTTTCTCTCTCTCCAAACACAACGGACGCTCTGATGTGAACCTATCGACTCGTCTCAGACCGAAACTCGCTCCAATGTCGACGCATGGACGCTGCGGCGGGACTCGGGAGGGAGGGGGATCATCATCCGTGTAAGTCCATTGGAGATTGAGGACTGGCCACCGGAAGACGATAACACCTACGCATACAGATCTCCGCTCCAGCTCTTGCTACCTACCTCAGCCCTTGCCGAAGCTATGGCAAGTCTCCGAGTGCGGCTTGGCCGGTAGTAGCTCCATAGCTCCCGCGCTTCCCCATGGTTGGCAGGAAATCAGCGATGAGCGGTCAGCACTGCAGCAACAATCCGTTAGCCAGCCCCATCCAACACTGGTTATTGACTGCGTTTGGTCCCGCCAACCTGGGTGTTTGTGACAACCCCCAAAAGGGCATGATGCCAGTATGCTCGCCATATCTGGGAGAATCTGTGGTCCAGTGTACAGAGTAGACACCGCTGCTTGCCACGAAGGAATTCTCGAAGGCTTCTTCCACTCTTCTCCACTGATTCGATCACCCCCGGACAAACCGGGGTTACTGCGATATTTCTTTTTCTTTCTTCCAAACGGCTCTTCCCACCCGCCGCCCGCAGACGTTCACCACCTACGTGCAGCGTTGCGACCCAAGGAGACCTGTACTCGCATAGCATGGGGCTGGTCTTTTCAATGACACCGAGACGCGGAAATGGATGGCTCTGCGAGTCTCGGTGGAGTCCGCATACCCGAGCCTCCCCGACTTGTTTGCCAACTTCATCTCCAGTCCAGATACCGATTACCAATCGATGGCCGAGGCTGGTGGCATGTTGCTGCCAAACGGAATCCTCATAGATGGCGCAACGCGGTCGATGGCCCAAACTAGCTGCATCGGTCAATCTATCGGGGGCATCCGGTTGCGTTCTCATCCTTCGCCGCCCTGCGAGGCGCCGCCAACGCAGCAACGGCAACTAAACCGTTTTGGATGCAGGAAGCCGGCGTCAAATGTACATCTCCCGCCCATGTCTCACCAAAGTTCGAATAGAGACATACGGAAGGAGGATGCCACATTTGTTTCACAGCAAAGTTGCTGCGCACAACGCAGGCTTCCTCTGGATAGAGCTACGTGTCGATGTCTCGAAAGACATTTTCCTTGGCCAAGTTTGCCACATCATTCATCAGGCGGCAGTCTGGCAGACGGTTGTCTCCATGAGACCTCATTTGAGTCCACGTGGATCGTCTCCTTGCTACCACATAGATGCCATCGCCCGACAGGATGGCCGCATGAAAGCAAGGCCTCGTCAGTGATCGCCTTCGCATGGCTAGGGAGCACGGGAGCAAGAAAGGGGTCTTTCCCTGAGTCTCGAATCGTTCGAGGCCGGTACCTGCGCGTCAAAAGTTTGAATATGACATGGTCATCTAGCGTATTGGATCTGGCGACTCGGATCAACAGTATCGTTCAGGGGAGAGGTTAAGCTTAGGCCAATGGTGAACACAAAAGGCTGTGGCTATCTCGAACTATTGGTCGTCAAGATGCAGGAAGAAGGCGTCGAACAGTCGGGCTACGAAAGGATTCCGAGTCCCGACGTCGAAATGCTCATCGAGGTCTACATTGACATTCTTAGGCACACATTAGGCGGACGAGACCGAGCGTCGATGGCAACTCCGGTAGCGTGATAATACACATTACACCGGCCCTACGAATAGGGAAGACGACATGCAGCGAAAAAAAGCAATGAGCCGTCCTGGCAACGGACCTGATGAGGTATCTCACACGAACAACATTGTGCTACTGGACAACACCGGCAGCATGGCTCGTCACCATCTGCTTCGTGGATCACAAACGAGACGTCCCGATCTTTGAACGTTTCTACGTAGCCGATGAGGCCATGTGGGATTAAGCTCGATAGCCCCTGGCAGTGTTTGTCATCCGGAAAGTTTGAGGTGGGCTTGACAGTTTCGCCGACAAACGAATGGCAACCCGAGGCTGTCATGTCGAAAATCTCCGGTTCCGCTGTAGCAGACCTTCGGTGTGTGCGAAGGACATGCCGCAGTCCGTATGGCCTATCTCGAGGGTTGCACTTGAGCTTTTACTCAAGGCAAGCTGTGTTGCCGAACCCATCATCGGTCATGGACGTCCTATTCTGCATCATGCACTCCACGTCAGACACTGTTCCTGTGATTAAATCGAGTTGCGGACGGCGACTATCAAATGCCTAATGACGTTCTTTCAGGTTGGATTCGCATCACGTAGCCTAGACGCTGTGGCACCAAAGCCTCAAAGAGCCACCAGATGCGAGAGAGATGGGGCGCTGTCGATATCTGGCACAAACATCCAATCGTCTTTGGGTGGTGTGCTTGCTGACCAACGGGCAGTCAGGTATCGAGATACCCGGGGCGTCCAGTATGCGGCCCTCGGAAGCCTTGATTATCGACCGATGGATTCCAAAATGATTGGGAGCACAATATCACAGATGACACGCCATGGGGGCTTCATGGAAGGCTGAAGCCAGAGAAAGTGAGAGTTGGATGCGCCGTGCTGCGCGTCTGTTTAGTCTGTTGGCCTGCGAAGAGTTGCCGTGCGACCCTCCTTAATGATTCAGTATGTCAAGGATGAAGATATTGTGTGCTGCGTTCTCTGTCAGAATATGAAGAAAGTGAGTGAAGCCAGACTGGCCGGTATCAGGGATGAAGCCTTCTGGTTACGGAAATAGTCCCGTGGACGGCGGAAAGATGGCGTTTGGCCATGTGAGAGAGAGGAAAGGCGCGTATGGGGTCGGCCGTGTTTCCCCATGTTCGCTCTAATCGAAAAATGGCCTGGCACCTGGAAACGCGGGGGAGAAGATTGGTGGAGGCCGAGTTACCTCGGTACGTCCCCACTGTCCCAAGGTACCGATCGGGGGGGCTGAGCAACCGTCGTCCTTTGACCGGCCAGACCGAGTCAGCCAAACTGCCGTCAGAATCACCACTCTGTCCCTTTTTATTATCACGTCTGCAATCTACACCATCTAGACTAGAAGCTTTAAAAGTTTGTTGTCTCCTTTCTCCTGTTACCTCGATTTTCTCGTCGCCCTCGTCCCTCAACCTGTTTAGTCACGTAACACAACAGTTTGGACCGAAATCGAATCGAATCGAATAGAGAAAGAAAGCGTTCCGATTGCCCAACATGCCTTTCGACACTGAGCTGACCCGGCGGTTGGGTATCAAAGGTACGTCAGAGCAGGGCTCGCGAGAAGACGCACGACACATCACATCCGCAGGCGTCACTATGGCGCGCATTTCAACCCCCTATGCCGGGTAAAGTACCAGAGAGGACAACTCATCGCTGACACGCTCTCGTCCGCCTCGCAGTACCCATCGTTCAGGGCGGCATGCAGCATGTTGGCACAGCCGACCTCGCCTCGGCCGTCTCCAACGCCGGCGCGCTGGGCATCATCACCGCCCTCATCTTCCCGACCCCAGAAGAGCTGCGTAAAGAGATCCAGCGCTGCAAGACGCTTACCAAATATCCCTTCGCCGTCAACATCACCCTTCTGCCGGCCCTCGTGCCCCCAGACTACGCCGCCTACGCCCAGGTCGTCATTGACGAGGGCATCAAGATCGTTGAGACGGCCGGCAACTCGCCGGGTCCCGTCATCAAGCAGCTCAAGGCCGCGGGCGTCACGATCCTGCACAAGTGCACGACGATCCGCCACGCGCAGAGCGCCGTCAAGCTCGGCGTCGACTTCCTCAGCATCGACGGTTTCGAGTGCGCCGGCCACGTGGGCGAGTCGGACATTACCAACTTTATCCTCCTCTCGCGTGCGCGGCAGTCGCTGAAAGTGCCGTTCATCGCGAGCGGCGGGTTCGCGGACGGCGAAGGGCTGGCGGCGGCGCTGTGCCTGGGCGCGGTGGGCGTCAACATGGGCACGCGGTTCATGTGCACGCTGGAGGCGCCGATCCACCACAAGATCAAGGAGGAGATTGTCAAGGCGCAGGAGACGGACACGGCGCTGCTGCTGCGGCGGTGGAGGAACACGACGCGGTTGTACAAGAATAAGGTCACGGAGGAGGCTATCAAGATTGAGGAGCAGAGCACGTCGGGCGAGTTTTCCGAGATTGCGCCGCTCGTGAGCGGCAAGAGGGGCAAAGAGGTTTTCGTCACAGGTGATCCGGACTATGGAGTGAGTGCATATCCCTTTTTTCCACGTCGACATGGTTTGAAGTATCGAGCTGACATTTTTCTGCTATAGGTTTGGACGGCCGGACAGGTCATTGGATTGATCCACGATATCCCGTCGGTCAAGGACTTGGTTCCTAGAATAGAGAAGGAGGCCGAGGCGGCGCTGAAGGCGAGGCTGGCGTTGATTAAGCCGGCGGCCAAGTTGTAGAGGGAGAGAGACTATACAGATATTTTGTCGAAAGAGAGAGAGACCTACACAGATATGTAGAACAATGACTTTGTACTATGATGAACCTACAACGCCACGATCTCTTTTCTTCCAGCTCGTTGATTTCTTCGATTGAAGGAGTACGTACATAGGTTGACTCGAGGCTGGGGTTTCCATGTGGCTGAAACTATCATCCTATTGGTTTGCGCTCGAGATCTTTGGATTGACTCGCGGTGCATCTTCACATGGAAAAAAAAAGAAGAAAAAAAAAGGTTGCTACCGGAGCCAAGCCAAACCAGCACGTGTTCCACCACGACGGACAAAGCACAAAAGGATGGCCATCAAGCTCATCAGCCTCACAGCTAGATATCATAAGCAGCCAGAGGTCCCGTGACGCCCTTAGAAGGCTAAGAAAGAGAATGCGAGAGAAGAATGGTGGGAGGACGGGATGGTGATCACCTGGGCTGCCGCAAAGTGCTTGTGACGCAAGCTATTGGCGTGCCAATTCCCCCGCAAGGTAAGTACCAGGGGGGAAGTACGGGGGAGGCGGGAGAACGTGGGGACCAAGGTTGCTGTCGCAGCGCGCCAACAGCCAGAAACAGCACCTGCTACCGCTTCAGTGGGGAAGAAGCGAGCATGTGAAAATGGCAGCTAGGTGAGATACGGATACCTTTCCGCACCTTCTCCAGCGAAAAGGGTGGGGTTCGGGCTCCGGAGTTTCGCAACCAATGCGGTGTGGTCGCTGGAATTTGGATGCCTCGGCCGGTTTTTTTTTTGGTTGCTGGACCTACTGGATTGCTGCTGCTAGGTACAGAAAGGTGAGGTGCGGCGCTGCATGACCCCCAGCTGACATCAGCCAGTTCTTTCGAGGTGGCCGCGGTGTACCAAGTACCCTGCTGCTCCTTCGTCAGAGACCCGTTTTTGAGAACATCCGAGGCTCATTGTCCCATCTGAGATCCGAACCAGACATACATCCTGTCCGTCACAGTTCCCCTTACACACTCTTGTATTGATATACTTGTTCCACCAACATCTCTTCTTCTCACTTTCATCTCTCCATCTGCCTGCTTCATCTATATACTCTCTCATTTCTATCTTCGAAGCTTCATATCTCTTACAATGGGTGGTGAGTAGCAACCAACACTCTGTGCGCGGCCACTTCGCCTCTTTGTACTAACCACGTTGCTCAAAATAGCCCTCGAGAGATTGACTCAGCTTGGCGGCCAGTTCTCCGCTGGCGGCAAGGACAAGATCCTCCAGAAGAATGCCGACGATGTAAGCTCCCGATCGCTGTCTGTCCAGACTATCACAGAACATGCCCCGTCTAACTGTATTTACCCGCAGGTCGTCGTCACCGCAGCCCTCCGAACTCCCTTCACCAAGGGTGGCAAGGGCGGCTTCAAGGACACCCAGGCCGCCGACCTGATAGCCGGTACCCTCAAGGCCCTCCTTGAACGCTCCAAGATCGACCCCGCTCTCGTCGAGGATATCGCCGTCGGCACCGTCCTGGCTCCCGGCGGTGGTGCCACCGAGATGCGTGCTGCTGCTCTCGTCGCCGGCTTCCCCCAGACCACTGCCGTGCGCACCCTCAACCGCCAGTGCTCCTCTGGTCTGCAGGCTTCCGTGGACATCATCAACGCGATCAAGACTGGCATGATTGAGGTCGGCATCGGCGCCGGCGTCGAGAGCATGTCAACACAATACGGGTATGTGCCCTCCTTGACCTGCGTTCTCATGTTCTCAATAACTGACTCTCTATCTAATACAGCCCCGCCGCTGTCTCCGAGTTCTCTGAGCTCCTCGAAAACACCCCCGAGGCCGCAAACTGCAAGGTCCCCATGGGCGTTCTCTCCGAGAACATGGCCCAGGACCTCGGCATCCCCCGCACCAAGCAGGACGCCTTCGCCGCCTCCTCGTACGCCAAGGCCACCAAGGCCCAGGCCGAGGGCCTCTTCGACCAGGAAATCACCCCCCTCAAAGTCAAGTGGGAGGACCCCAAGTCGGGCGAGACCAAGGAGATCACCGTCGCAAAGGACGACGGCATCCGCGCCGGCGTCACCGCCGAGTCCCTGGCCAAGATCAAGCCTGCCTTCGCAAAGGATGGCGGCATCCACGCCGGTAACGCCTCCCAGGTCTCCGACGGCGCCGCCGCCGTGCTCTTCATGAAGCGCTCGACCGCCGAGCGCCTCGGCCAGCCCATCCTCGGCAAGTTCGTTTCTGCCGCCATCGTCGGCCTGCCGCCGCTGCTCATGGGCCAGGGTCCCGCCAAGGCCATCCCCGTCGCCAACGCCAAGGCCGGCATCGCAACCGAGGATGTCGATATCTACGAGATCAACGAGGCATTCGCGTCGCAGTGCCTGTGGAGTGCCGAGCAGCTCGGCATCCCGTTCGAAAAGGTCAACCCCAAGGGCGGCGCCATCGCTTTCGGTCACCCGCTGGGCTGCACCGGCGCGAGGCAGATCTCTACGCTGCTGTACGAGCTCAAGCGGACCGGTAAGAAGATTGGCAACACGTCCATGTGTATCGGTACCGGTATGGGTATGAGCGCCGTCTGGGTTGCCGAGTAAATGGATGACATCGCGACGGGGTCTTAAAGATTGATGATGAAACTTGTATTTTAATTAGAGCATTTTTGGGCCTGGTTGTATATCAACAGAGTGGTTCGGGATTTTAGGCGTATGAAATACGATTGATCTATGAATGTCTTCCCATTCTTCCACTTCCACTTTCCTACCATGAAAAAAAAAACACCCAAGCATTTCTTCTTCACGACCAGAGTCATGCTCCAGCACGTAATGAAAAAAGAGAAAAATGAGAGCCTGTCAGACGTCCATCGATGCCCACCCCTCCCGCGCGCCCAAGGGCAAGACCGCGAACAGGGGACGAGATCATCACCGTTCTCTATACAAGCCCGAAGGCCGCCCCCCTTGCGGAGAGTTCGAGAACAACCAAGAGTTATCACTCTAGGGTATCGAGGATATCAATCATCAACCAGGGTGGGATCTGTAGCTCCTTTAGGGAACCAAGAGTAGGTCGAATACTATAGAAATGATTCTCTGAAGTATTGTCGACATGAAGAAAAAAGAAGAAGAAAAGAATCCTAAAAGTTGGGAAGGGTGGACGGTGTTTTATAGGCATCTGGACGACGAGATTTTCTGGGATGGGTGGGGCTGCATGGTGAAGAGTCTTTCTTGATGGGACGTGCCCGTGATGGATGAGTTCGAATTTTTCTTTGGGTGGGGGACGGTATGTTTATTCGATAGAGGATTATGGATTTTTGTGATGAGAGGCATCCATATCGAGAGTTCGTATTTATACATGTTTCCGGAGTCCTGCTGACTTGGGCAGCAGATATGTGGTTTTGAGGATGAATATCGGTGAAGGTTGTTAGATCCCAGCTGGAAGCTACACTGGCCATGAAGGCTCTACGTATCTGAGACTTTGAATGGCTGGGTCCCTTTAATAGCCACTGTATTAAACGCCTTAAACTTTGGCGTTTCAAACAACGACAACCTTCTCTACCTCTCGAACGTGAGCCCCAACTTCGATGGGCATCATTCAATGGGCATCTACTCCAGCGACGGCGGCTGCTCTGAAGCGTAGACCGCTTCAGGGCACTCCTTGAGCTGCTTCACCCTACTCAGTTGGTACCCAATCAGGTTTCGTGGTGTAGTTGGTTATCACGTCAGTCTAACACACTGAAGGTCTCCGGTTCAAGTCCGGGCGAAATCATTCCTTTTACTTTTGGGGAATTTTCGAGTGGTCATTCCCTCCGTGATGATCTGGGTATGTTTTTGGCTTCTTTTTATTTATCGGTGGGCGTCATTCGATGTATGGTCAAGTCTGCTCTCACTTATCAGTGACAGCCATCGTTGGTTTTGATTCACAAGGAATTGACTGCTTACCCAGTCATTCTAAGTTCATTCTTGAAAATCCACTTTATGGGCTTGACTGAAACCAAAGATTTGCCAAAGATCTATCCATCTACGGCTATATCCAATTTGTTTGTTACCATGGGAAAGTTTGCCGTTACAGGGCTACCGCTCATTTGTTAGGTTATCGTGGATTTTGATCCATCTTTTTGTCCTTGGGGTCGGAGTGAACTTACGGTGCACTTGCGATGGAACCCAGGCTCATTAACTGGGAAAGACCAAATGTCATCGCCTTGGTTGTATGCGGTGTCTATGATTGCCTCGGAATCTTTACCTTTAGGTTGCCCAATGTCGCTCTTAACTGGAGCAGTTCTTCGCACGTCTGCTACTGCTTCTGGAACTGGCCTGCTTTTAACCTGCCTGCCTATCCTGTACACAACCCCCAAACACTGCCTCCTCACCAGGAACAAAAACACTTTCGCTCGCAAAAATCCTTCATCTCATCTCCACGAATGCAGAATCCTTTCCAAAAGCTCCAAGAGAACAAAAAAGCGGAAGCAGGCAAAAGAGATGGTTCTCCCCTTCCAGAATCGAACTAGAGACCTTTCGATGACAATGTAACCATTACAGTCGAACGTGATGAACCAACTACACCAAGGGGAGATCCGAGGACTGGGTCCTCGCTCGGTGGGTTGGAGGAGTCGGGCGCGCAAGCTGACCAAGTTGCTTAGGGCTGGGCTGGCTTGCGGGAGGTGCAGGTGCGAGCCCCGCACTTGACCTGCTCTATCGGGCCTGCCAGCCACTTTTCATGGCTAGGAGGCCTGATTGAAACTGTTTGGTGTTGGGTTTCGATTTATAGATGGCTGGTAGAGAGATGTAATTCTGTATTTGTTATTTTGCGAGTCTTGTTTTGAGGATGTTGGTTGCTCGTCAATTTGTAGTGCGCTGTTTGTGAAGCTTGAATTGGAGTCACATGAATGTCGGAGGAAATGTGAAGATCTGACCCTATGCTTGTACAGGTGGGCGACATTCGGTCAACTTCTAACTCAATAATTCGTCCATCATGCACGAGGACGCTATTCTTCAATCGAAGGGCTCTCTGCACATGCCGTAGATATTCTCAGCCTCGCCACGATCCGCCTACCATTCTGGTAAGGGGCTCGTCCAGTAGTGTAACTCACCCCAGGAGAGCTTTCAGAAGGTAGTATATCAGCCCAACGTGAGTTTAAGAAGTGCAGTCAAGCTTTCCGCGATCATGTTAGCTATGGTCTACCGCTCTCTGTAATCGTTTGCTCGGCGGGTTCCCGCTAACAGCTCGACCTAAGAGGCTTTAAGAGCTAGGATAGCTATCAACATCTACAATGTTTGAACCGCAGCGTTCTTGCCACAAATGAACACCTGGTCATTACGTAGGAGCTGCCGGTGGGCCTACGTGTGACCAACATCCCTCATTTTGTCCATGACGTGAGTGTGGCTGGGACATATCTCTAGTATCCCAAGTGATTCTTCTAGGTTCTCTTTCCTCCATTGGATTGAGAACATCCCTCATATGCCTTGTGATATGGCTTCGAGGACATTCTGGAGTCATATAACTTGAACAAACAAACAGTAATTGGAATCCATGCGGGAAATCCTTTGTACACGGCGGGAAAATCTTCTTAACTTGTCGGAGATTATCACGGTCCAGGAATGTCGCCGTCTGAATACCGATGACCTTTGCCAATTCTTAT